TACTTTGTCGATGAAACAAAAATTTAGGAGACGCAACAAATGTTTTTTGCTGGCCGTATAATAGCAACACTGTTTTTCCTGTTATGTGTAGTAATTCTACATAAATGTCTACGTTGAAAAAAACTATATTGCTATAAGCATAGACAAATGTTTTCGACCACTTAATCTGAAATACTTCCGGATATATTTGCGAGGATTCCGCGCGACTTCCGCGGATAGAGACCGGAAGTGCACGGAGTGGCTTCGCTCGGTCATGTGGTGATTCCGCAGCGAACCGTATAAAGACAACGAGGAAGGACCCGATTGTGGCGACACGCTCATCTTGCGCGCGCGTGTGTGTATATGTTGCGTCGTGTCGTTCTATCTGGCCTTCGATTAGGTGTCACGCTCGTAAGCTCGCATGCACACGCGGGCATAACCGTTTCGCAACAGATTACACGCGCCTCTTTGCAAGCTTCTCGTGTGCGTACACAATCCGCATACAAGCACGTGCGTACGCGCGAGCGTTGTGCGACTCGAGGAGATGATCGTCCCACGGGGAACGGCACGTCGATTCCGCGAGAAACTAGACTGACGTGCGTAGGTTTTAGCGTATCTACTCTTCGAGGCTACGAGAAAAACTTGGAAAAGCAATATTCCCCGTAGGAATGAATGTGAATTTTGCGCAGTTTTTGATTATACTTTATCACGCGCTTCATTAGTTAACAAGAACGGGATAATCGACGCGAGATCCACAGGGAATCCTTAGAGAGATTATTTACTTCTTTCGAACAAGTTTTAAATTTACATATAAATGTCACATATATGCGACGTTTAAATATTGTATTAATAGCGTGTTGGAGTGTTTAAATATATCACGAGTGGCCGAGTATCACTTTGGAGCGAGAGATTCCCACTTCTCGAAACGACTTGTTCTCCGACTTGTTTAGCTCTGGCAATAAATGCAGCGGTGATACGTACTCGCGTGATTTTCCACGTGGTCGTTAAAAGCTGCGCCGCGCCGCGCCGGTCGCTGACTCTTCGGCGGCGGTCACGTGCTTAATTAATAAGCCTCACCCGCTTATAAATAACAACTGGCTCTCCGCGGATATTTTGGTCCGCTTGGCGAATGTCGGGTCAATGTTTCCGACGATAACTGCGTCGTGCGTATCCCATTTTCCGGAGTGGAAATGATCTACGCGATCGATGAATGGCGAAAGGTAATCGGAGACACGGCGCGAGAGGTAACGAAGAAGATTGAAAGCCGAATTATGTATCCGTAAACAAAAGAGTAGAGTAAGAAAATCGTACAAGATTTTTGATTACCATTTACGTACGGAGATAAAAAAAAAAAAAAAAAAAAAAAATTTCGCACGGTCCACGCGTAAGTGCTACAGTTTATTTCTTCTGGTCCGCGACCGTTACCCACGGGATTTCTTCTAATCAAGTCCAGTTGAAACTGTAAACTCCGAGATAATTATCGTAGCGGTCGATATGTGTGTAGTCGATATGTATGAAGAGATTATACCGGGAGCAAACAAACGTATATGGCGACGCTTGTTAGAAATCGCTTTCATGCGAACGAAAGCAATCGTGTCGTGTGAAACCTGCTCGCTGTATAGGGATTTGCAATTCCGTGCTCATCGTCGCGCTTAACACATCGTTACTTAACACACGCGCGAGGATGCATATGTATGATTTTTTCTGAAATAAATTAGGACTCGCAAAGAAGCGTTTAATTTATGGTTACCATAAGCCCGTTGTTCTGCCGTTGTTTCTTTCTGAAATAAGAAAGTGACTTTTACCGGAGATTTTTCACACTAACGCAATATACATAAACAAATTATATTGTTTTTCTAAAACAAACAAACAACTTTTTGTCATCATGTAACGTATTACACCACATATTGTATATAATATGAATTTTTTTGCATAACATGTCACACACGCACTTAACTAGATTACCGTCGCCTCTCTCTCTCTCTCTTTCTCGAATAACGAAGGAGAAAAGTCACCGTTTGTCTTTCTGTCTGTCTGTGGTATAACGGGCAAAAGTTGCAGCCGTTGGCGCGTGATTTGTCACTCTCTCGGTACTCCGGAATGACTTGCTTCTATCGGCATTCAACAAAACCCCGTTGATCTCGTGCGTTAAGCAAGAAGACACGTTTGCCTTTAGTTTAGTACGTTCATTCATGAGTGACGAGAGAATGCACGAAACGCGACGACGCCGACGAGGGTGCGACAAAAGCGTTCGCGCCTATTCAACCGAGATTCAAGCAATTTTGTCGCGAAACGAAAGAAGAGACACACATGGAACAAATTCAGGCGTGTGAACGAAACTCGGACCATGTCACAGACGAACGAATCATAAGGCAAATGTCCCAATGACTAGACGTTTGTTGAAGAATTAATTATTAGATGTAAAATTATTATAACAATTCTCAATGTTTTAGGTATATATTTTTTAATATGTTTTTAAATATTAGAATGTCTAGTTTTACACATATAAAACACTTTGTTGCGATTAATTCCTTAATAGAGGAATGTTCCCGGTTATCGGAATATTTACTTTAGTGAAATAATGAAATAAATAATAATAAAAAAAATTTGCAGTTTTATTAATTTATAAAAATCGAGCTGGTTGAAAAGTTTGTTTGAAAACGTTTTCGCTATGTTTAATAGGTGACATTAGCGTAGATGGCAACACGTTTGAGTATCGCGCGAATATTAAAAACGTCGAACATTAAACAAGCATTTATAGAAGCTAAATTATGTGAGTACGATATAAAGCTTTTAAATTTCATTGAAAAAAACGTTACGAACAACCAAAAAATACATAAATAACATGCCACACGCACATGCCTACATAAAGCATGAATTTCTTATATCGCCATCCTATTGGAATTTCTCGTCATGCGCGTGTGCAAACACAGTGTCTTTCTTTTGTATCGAGACACGTTCTGCGCAAAACCTACAAACTCCCGTCTCTATGTGCCGCTTTTAGATGAGCGTCATCTATAAGGCGCAATGAGGAATTCCCACGCACCCGTTGCTACCACCCTTCGGGGTCAACGATCTCTTTGGTTACACCGAGCGGGTCATGCGAAGCGATTAGAACCACTATTGTTCGATGCTTCTATTACCGTGTCTAGTAACGACTTATTTCTAGAAGTTACGTTATGTTCGAGTTCGATGAGAATTACCGGGGTTGTATATAAATTAGGACAGCAAAGATGAGATTTCAATCACACTATAATGCGACTTCTTGTATAAAATGCGCATCACGTACATAAATTGATACTCTTGTGATACGCAATAACTAAGAAAATGTTGTTTTAATTTAATTGAACCTCCTGGAACATGTAAAAAATGTTAAAGTAACTCATGTGTTATTTATTGACAAACTAGTGTAATGTTAATTCTTCGTGGTCCTCAAAATGACCTGCGAGTTAGTGAGATCGAATCTGTGAGACCAACGCGACTTTGAGATCGAATATCTCCGCAAAAAATCAATATTTTTTAAAAATTTCTTTTTCTTTTTTTTTTGAATCGGAAGTTTGAACACTTCTGCGTCGATAAAAAACAAATTGAAAAAATCTCAATAGTTTCGAAGATATAAGTTTAAAAAGAAACTAATTTTATCTTAGAAACGCCGATGCGCAATTTTTGAGTGGGTCTGAGAGACCCACGTCTAACTGCGAAGGATTAAGTAATTGACACTTTACATTTATATTTGTTATTTTTTGACTTTATGTGTAACGTAAAAATAAAATAACAAAATAATTGAAACCTACATGGAAGAATAGTTGCAATAACTCACGGAAGAAATGTACTTCAAAAAGAACAAATATAAAGTGTCACAATTACCTAACATTTACTAGTTTGTCAATAAGTAACACACGAGAAATGAATTACTTTAACATTTTTGACATGTCCTAGAGGAGATTTATTCAAATTAAAATTTTCTTTTTTACTGCGTATATCACGGAATAGTTAACGGAATTTTTTCCGAATTATAATATGCTTTTCTGCGTCGTCATAAATCTTAATTATATTCATTCACTGATCATATGTAATATATATGTATACATATCGAATGATTCATTCGAGAGAGAATCTCGCCTAGGTGTGACGTTATCGAGAAAACACTAAACTCGCGTTTGTTCCACTCGATAGATCGGATTCATAGGAGTTTTAAAAGACAATCTTTTTAAATAACAAGCTTTATCACTACGCACGTGTCTCCGAGAGGAAACCGTTGTAGCGAACGTTTTATTTATGGAGAATAACCCAAGACGATCGCGACGCGCGCGCGGAGCGCTCTTAAGTACAGTCTGTGTGTTCGCGACGTATGAGAGATTGTAGTTGCGTCATATACGAAAACGCCTACTGGGTGTTTCCGTCGGGGTCATAAATCCATTTGACGCCTCTTGATTCTCTTTCGATGGGAATGCGCTTGAGAACGCGATGTCGCGACAGAATATATGTCAAAGACAAAAAAAAAAATAGTAGATTATCTATACACACGAAGAGAAAGAGAGGTCCGTGTACCGTTACGCACTGATCTTATATCGCTGCACTTTTGCAATTATGTAATATTTGAAGAACGACGTATTTTGAATGACTATTTTAACTTATTTTGGTTAGAAAACTGTTTTTAATGTATGAAGTAAACTTGAGTCACATTCTTTGTCGTGAATATTTTCCTAGGATATTTGCAACCGGAAAAATTCGAAAAATCTCGTAAAATTGCAGATACGCGTTCCAGAGAATAAGACGCCGTTGTTGCGGGCATCGCAAGAGACTCCGTTGTCGTGACTCGTGCGTCTGCGTGCGCGAATTGAGATGTACACGCGGCCAACCGGCCGGCGGAACCGCGCAAAATGTTTCTGCGAATTATAATAATTGCCGACGTGTACGAAAGCCCGCATCTCCGCGACTAGCAAAGTGTTCCTTTATAACTCGTCCAATTATCACGAACCCGCGAAACTCAACTTCGCTTCGTGATCTTTCTGTTTCAGGAGTAACAAGTACCTGCAAAAATCGTCCATCAGTCGCGTGTGCGCTGTCGGAGGTTTCTTCATTAGCATCCCGGTCTTCTTAACTGGTAAGAACGGGCCGGTTTCGTTTTTGTTTTGCTTACAAAAATTTGGAATTCAGAATTAGATTGTGATTAATAAAAATAATATATAATTATTATTGTCATCACACATCGCCGCGTTGTGATTAACAGGAATGATCCTCTATACGTTCATTCAATTCCACTCGACGCCGGCGATCGTCACGTCGGTCTTTATCGGCCTCGGCATTGTGTTCTGCGGGTGCGCTATGGTCCACAACGTCTTCGTGTGGCAGAAAGTAAGTTCGTCTATGAAATGGATTTTTTTTTTGTTTTCACACTTCGTCTTCTTCGTCCTTCTCGCTTCTCTTCCTCCTACTCCGTTCTCTCTTCCTTCTCTCGCGCGGTGACCTAACGGCGTGCGAATTCTTTTGATCATCACGTTGTACGGATCTCCGCGTCGTAACGCAGTTTGCTTCTTTATTTTCTCGCATTTCACGACCGACGCGATGCACTGGCCTGCATCTCCTTTTTCCTCCTCTTCTCTCGATCGGCGCTGCACCCTTAATCTCTTCCCGCCGTGCCTTATTAGCATATCCCGCAACGGTCGATGTCATTATCACGCTATTATTTACGTCGGTGATCATTCTACCGTGTAATTCGATTCCAAACTGGATCTGTACGCGCAGGATGTCGCGCATGAGCGTGTGTGCGTGAGGCGGACGCGGGGCGGCGCGAGTGCGAACCAACGTGTTTTCAAGTCCGTCGTGTCTCTCCGTTTTACGAAGACGAAGACCTGATAGCAGGATATTACTACTTCACGCTCGTGTGACTCCGTAGGATAAGACGCTTTGCTTCGCGTTACGTAATCGTATAATTAAACGGGAAGATTTTGTATGTAACTGCATCGCTCTCGCGGCTTCCCGTCGCGCGTATCATCGCGCAATAAACTTCACCGATACTTCGCCGTTACACAAATTGCCGCGACGAGGAGAAAAATTTTTTTATCGCTCTTCTGCCATCAGACGTGCTTCCAGAGTCGCGCGGGAAATGTTTCTTCGTTTATTTTACGCCCCGATGTTTTTACGCTCAATGTTTCGAGCATCAATGACATTGACCTCCTAATTCCGGTCACGCACGTGTTCACGCTCATCATGTTAACGAGGTATATAACACGGATTCTTTGAACACGCGTAATTTAGAAGTCGTTTCATATTGCTTTACGCTTTCTACAAATTGACAATCATTTATCCATTGAAATGATGATTTCTTGTTGCTAACAGACTTATCTCTTCTTCATATAAATTTTCTAATGACTTTTTTTTTTGTAAAGTTTTCTTTTATAATTCCTCTCTTTCTCTTCACAATCCTTTTTCTAACTTTTTCAACTATCAACCGTGATTGTTAAATTGACCGTTAGAAAACACAAACCGCGAAGAACAGCTCAACCTAAAAAAACCATAATTAAATTAGTTTACTAATTCTATCGAAAAGTATAAAAGTCTACAGAACACACATAACAAAGAATAATAGAGAATAAATACCAAGAGTATGTGTGTGTGTCCAATCTATATGTCATATAATCTACAGGAGAAGACGAACGCAGTGAAGGCGTTTGCTCGTGAGCAGTGCGAGGCCGCAGCGCAACTGCAGCGCCAGCAGCAGTTGCAGCAGCAACAGCACCAGCACCAGCAGCAGGCGCACTTGCAGCGCCATCATCAACATCAGCAACAACATCATCATCATCATCTTCAGCAACTACAGCTGCGTCCGACGCTGCACATGGGCTCGAAGACCAGCCATCCAATGACCCACTCAACTGCTAGTTTGAGTCGCGGCCTTCATCAGTCTCATCAGCATCATTTGCATCACTCGCAGCAGCGTCACGTGTCGTCCATGTCGCCACCGTTGTTGCTGTCGTCGCCGCATGGCGCGTCGCAGCATAACCATCTGACGCACCGTGGTGGCATAGCCGCCGCCGCTGCCGCCGCCGCTGCCGCCGTTACACCACCAACAACACCCGGCGACCGGTCGCCACCGAGTCCTGGCGGTGGCGGCAGTGGCGGCGGCGGCAAGCTCAATAGGTCGCAGCATCAGCCGCGCGAGACCAGCGGCAGCGTGAGCCCCGGCTTGCCGGCAGCTACGCTCGATCTGAGCAGCGCCGCCACCACTAACAGTCCGCACGAACTGTCGACTCTCGTCTAGATTGTCGAGAAGAACACGCAGTTCGTAGATCCAAACGACCCATTCGGAGGCATATTTCTTCTTTAATTGAAAAGATTGTCCTCTGAAATGTCTCAAAAAAAGATAATTGATAAAAAATAAATTTAAAATTAGTTTTTATAGAAGTAAGTTGAAAAATATATCAAAGATAAAGTTTTTGATCAGCAAAAAAGCCATTAAAAAATTGTTATTAATTCTACGTGGTACATTTGTGGGGCCAGAATTATTTGAAAGTTATATTTTACATTGATGCGCGCGCGACAAGTGATATTAAATGCTTCGTATATAGATAGAGCCGATGTCGATCTATAAGGAAGGGACCAAAAATTGCTGACTAAGGCTTGCACTTCTTATCTTACCTTATTATCGCGTTATTAACGTTATCGACATGTCGTGGCGTCGTGCCTGATCATACCACCTGAAGGCTGGTTATACTCGCAGTATATTCCAGAGCGCCTTGACGAATCCTCGTGAAATTTTTTGCCCACCGTGTACATAATATTCACGAACCCTCGACGAGCGATTGCAGGAAAATACCGCCCAGAGTTTTGTTGCCGGGCAATTTATTCGGAGTTCGTGCGTTCGGCAGACTTAGTCCCGGGCTTAAACTGTGTACGGCCGCCTCAAAGTGGTATGAGTGCGAAGATTAAAGGACCGGGAAAGGGAAGAGTTTCGCGCCCTTTCGTAACGCGTGCAACACGAAACGCCGAAAGCGAAGTCACCGGCTGACGAATTCTCGCGTACTTTGTTAGCTGCGTTGAAGTAAAGTCAAGCCTGATTTTCGACTTATATATATATATATATTTTTTTTTTCGACTTATATATATATATATATATATATATATATTTTAAGAGAGATTCAATGTATTATTCATAAGCTTCATCGGAACTTTTTTATCGAGCGAAAATCTATCAGCCGCGTCTATTGTCCGTACTATTCCGGCAATTACTGACGGCCTTGAAAAACTTGTGCTCTCGGAGAGCTATTGACCGTCTTTATAACCCAGGTCATTAAACCAGTATTACTCGACTCATAAGTTTTTTGTTTCTTCCCCCCTCCCCCCGTCGCATAATTCTCTCAGATATTCAGAATCTAAACCGTCTTGATTCTGCTAGTATTGTAGCTAACATGATTTAATGACTTGTGGGTAGTTCCTGTCAAAGTTTTTGCATTCTTTTGCGTATCGATGATAATTTTCATAAACAAATTTCGCTGCTTGATCTAACGCGTTTGGAATTAAGTGTGTGTGTGTGTATATATATATATATATATATATATATATATATATATATATACACTCATATAGTTGTACTAAATTCGCGAAGAAATTTCACGGCACACATCGATTACGAGGATCATTTGCCCGAACGAAAACTTGCCGATTTATGCTTTATTTACGGCTCGTATATCCCGCTATCAGCGAGAAGAGCAACAGGTTTCTGTAGCCTGTTGCGCAACATCGAAAAATTTCTTATACCTTGTGTCGCGAATTGTATTGTGCTTGATAAACATTTTCCAGTTATCTGATAGTAGTTGCAATACGAGTAGCATCGGAGGTATCAGGCAACTCGAAAATGATTCGTATAGTTTATTGAAAATATTATCGATGAAACTTTTGCTACAGATTTTCAGTAAAATTTACGTATATATTCTCTTTTATATAGATATATTTTTTATATTATTATAGTAAAAAATACGCGCATATATATGTAAAATAAGACTTTATATCGATTAATAAAAATTGCACCACACACGAAAGTTTGATACTTGCCGAGTTCTGATTACAATCGAGTATAATTGTGGTAATGTGCTTTTTTCAACAATGTACGCAATGATATGTGCGTATTTTTCTTGCCTTAAAACTCTGAATAAGAGATGAAAAATTAGCAAGTAATGTGCAACAATCTTGCCACGTTTTGTCTCTCTCATTCTTTATTATAATTCTTATTACTTTTACGTACTTATATCTGCAGAACCTCTAGTCCTAGATTACTTTTGTTCACATAGAAGCAGATTTTTAGAAACCTTTAGCATTTCGATTAAGTCATTACGACGCAATTGTTCGAAAAGCGATTGAAAAGATTTTTGAAGTTTACAAACTTTCGACTCAGTGGCGAGAAAAATCAGGTTTATGCTTCGCAGTAAAATTTAAATTTATTTTTAAAAAAAGAAATTGAAGAGAAAGAATAAAGAAAGTGAAGGTAATTAATGTGAGATGAGCTTATTACTGAAAGTGAAAATAAAACACGAAGAATCTAAATAAGAAGAACATGAATCGACGGGCTTTGGGACGTCGCAAGTTATAATTTCGCCATTGTGTAGAAGTTCATTAATTTATCAAAACATAAAAACAAAAAAAAATAATAATTTTTTAGAAACAATAAAAATTAATTTGAGACAAACAAGTTCAAGAAATTTGAAGCTTTTAGACTTACATTAGATAATGATCAGATAAATTGATGCTATTTTTATTTCCTTCAAAAAAGTTAATACGTTTTTTAATATCTAAAAGTATATTGAAATTTTGATAAAGCTATGAGTGTATATTTTTAAATGCATTTAGACATTAGATATATAAATTTATATCACGTGTTATATACTGTACGTGATAGTAAAAGATAAGCATTGAAAGAAAAAAAATTGTTGCAGTATATGAGAAGTAATTTATATATTTGTGACATTTTTATGTCCGTCATAATTGTTTGTTCTTCGTTTGTGTACTAAGGCAATGTTTTACATAAAAAATTTTGAAATCTAACTCAAAAATATCGGTTACTTATAAAATTTGTGGTATGTATAAAAATCTGTCTATGATCTGTTTAGATATAATAATACACAAAACAACTAATAGATAAAAATTATGCAAATAAAAAAGTTTTACAAAAGCAGTTACTTATATAGTTATTAGCAGTTACTTACATATATAGTTTGATTTTCCAATTTGTAAAAAACATTTTTGTATCTATATTTTGTCAATATGTGTTTCTATATACTTGCGATAGTTATGTCATTCGAGATATAAAAGAAGGTTTGTAACAATTTTCTGCAAAAAAGGAAGTTAGAAGAACGTTCTATTTACTGTACGACTTATTGAGTAACAAATCTTATATAAAGACGTTCGATAAGCTTAGCGCATTGTAATGTGACGTAATACGCTTTTACGTCGCTTTTACGTCGTATTGCTCTAATAGTCTGGTAAATAAAAGTTCGGTATTTATACGATTACTTTATATAAAACTCGCTAATATAAAAATTGCTGTTATATTAGAAAACAGAATATACAAGAGGGGAGATTAAAAAGTAGAAAACATGTATAAAATGAAGAAGTGAAAACGCGTTGTATATATACATACTGACAGAATATATACAGAGATATGTACTCTAGAGATTTTCTCAAAACGGGTAGGGTAAAAAAAGATGAAAATATGTGTAAATTGCATAGTAACATATATATATATATACAGGACGTTCCAAAACTACTGAAAAATATCTCAATAACAGATTCTTTGGAAGACATTTTGAGACAAAAATCTTTTACGAAAATGAGATGAGGCTATATTTTTTTAATTATAAGCGAAAAATATATCGAAGATCGTGAAAATCGAAAAATCTTAGAATGTTTCGAAGAATCTGTCAAAATATTTTTCGATACTTCTGGAACATTCTGTACGTACACTTCTCTCATCGCCTTTGTAAGTAGTGTAGTAATAATATATATTCGCAAGAGAGCGGTAGTATATAACTTAATCGTGCGAGTTAAGTTATTTGTTGGGTCCACATATAATGCATATAGTACAAAAGTGTTTTAGCTTTATGTACTGATAGTTACGTAATGACAATAGATTTATGTATACTTTTGGCATGTAATTAATTAAAAAAAGAAAATAAATTATTCTAAATATGATGAAAATGTGACTGCAAATTTGCAAATGGATTGTTTCAGTCGTGCGCTCGCGCGTTGTGAAATTTCCACATTAACGATCTCGTCAAACAGCAGAGTAAAAATTTATTGTGACATTATTGTAGAGATAGAAAATGTATAAATAGAATAGTAATTTGATCTTTGCTAGCATTTATAGAGCTCAGTTAATGTCATTTAAAAAGCATTTTAAGAAAACATATACAAGTTTTGTATATGTATCATATTGTACATAATTTATATTTGCAATAATAATGTACATATATATAATCTTTAAAAAATATAATACAATCACATAATGGTTGCAATTATTATTTCGAATTCTCAAGACTAAATTTTTACTACACTACTATGTACATAATATTGAATTTGCATTTACTTGTTAGTCTTATTGCTCTTATTGAGCACAAACTAATTTTTAAGAATTTTCTACTAAACTTATTATATTCAGATGCAATTTAAAAATGGAATTAACCTACCCAAATGGATGCTTTATATAAGGAGGTATTAAAAAACAGGTTTTTAACAGGTATTTGTTAACTATTCCACATTCCTTACTACGTCCATGTTTGGTGTTAGCTACTTCGTGCATCATTAATGCTAGACGGAACTCTCACTTCAATTCCATCTAGTTCTTTAGACATTATTATTTGACATCCTAATCTCGACCTGTAATCAAAACATTTCAAGGTAAGTATAGTCAAAATGTATGATATATAGACTGAGAAGACTAGACTTATTTACGTATAGAATATTACATATAACAATGTAATACCATGTAATATCACATGTTTGTCAATACAATTTTCTTACTTTTTGTTGGCGTACTAAAAATAAAATACAAATTGTTTTCAATTTATATTTATATTTAGAGTCCACAATTTTACGTCAATCTAAGTGCACTTCAACAAAATCAGAAAAAAAGAAACAATTGATTCGAATAACAAAACAAGAGTTGACTTTAATACGTTGCTTTGTTAAATGCAAATTTTATTCTAAGTTCTTTAGGAACATAAATTTCTCAGAGGCTAATTCATGAATAAATGTAACAGCTATTGTAAAGTAAGATTGTGAATAGAGAATTTCGTCTCAAACATCAGAAAAAAATAAAATTTTATACATACGTTTCGGTTAATTCATACGCAAGGTCCAACATATCCATCTCTTCATCTGAAGGTTTGGATGGCAGTTGGTCATAAACATCTTTAGAAAAAATTAAATGACAAGTACTGCAGGTCAGTGTTCCTTCGCAAGCTCCTGTGTTAAAAATCAAAAGTTTTATTAAATTAATAACGTACAACTTTTTTAAATATATCTCAAAAATACAGAAATAAAATTTTTATACCGTAACCATCCAAGTCAATATCATTGTTAACAACAATGTCTAATATACTATCTCCTACTTTTCCAGTGGCTTTTATTTTTTCTCCATTGGCTTTGAGAAATGTTATACTAACTCTGTAAATAAAATATGCATGTTAATTTATAAATAATCAAATTACTAATACCAATAATTAATCAAACCAGAAGAAAACAACACTTGGAAAAAGACTTTTTTTTATCCACTTACTTCAATAAAAAGTAAAAAACTAATTTCACTTAAAAAATTATCACTTTAATAATTATATTTTAGTAATTATCTTTCTTATCGCTTCTTTTTGTTCTGTCGTTTTCGAAAATAAAAAAAATACTAGAAAGGTGTTAAACTTAGCAGTTAATCGTGCTAACAGTCATGCTAACTATTGTGAACGCTTCGCGCTTTTGACCGCAAATAAAAATTGACTAAAATCAAAAAGCAGAGATCCCGACCGAAGCAAAGATCCAGATCGCTCCTGCTCCGATTTCGTTTGCTTACTCTTTTTTTTCGGAGAGCTGTTGCTGCTGCGTGGTGAACACGGATCTCGCAAGGGACAGTTGATTCGCTTTGCATCTGACGTAATTTGCACCGACGGCGATTAACGATTTGGGAAGTAGTCTCTGCACCAATGCCATTATTCAATGTTAAGCCACAGGAGAATGTGCCGAGCGACAAGTACAAGGGAATGTGTATTTAATTCGAAAACAACGCGCGCCTCGTCGTCGACACAGAATCGAATGTTTCGATCAGACCATTGAGATACACGCTTGATTACACGTGTTGAAGATAATATATCACACGTACGTATGTACATACGTGTGATATATTTTGCAATAGTCCACTTCGATGAAACGCCGAAAAAAACGGTGACTCTCTGCTAATCACACGTACGATTTAGTTAACTTTTGCTAGTGAAAGCTACGTAACACACATGTGGAAAAAACGGTACCTTGGTCTCGATGGTTTGCAAAGTTGCGCGTTTAACGATCAAATGCACGTGCGTCTATCCGTTTCCAACCGTCACCGAATACTCGCTGCTGGTTGCAGCAACAAACGCACCGGCTGTTTCACGACGACTGACGACGACTGCTTTCTCTTCAGCCTGTTCTACAATAAGTCGTATGTCGCTGTCGGATGTCGGGCGCATGCGTATTGAGCTGGCGCGTGTCATCGAAAGCTGTCGTAAGTCGAGTGTCGCTGTCGTAACAGAAGATGACCAACTTTCATCTTTTGGCGACTCGCGAC